CAATCACAAGCATTTGGCACAATAGTTAGATAAAGATGAAGTACCAAAACACAGTCCAAAACTGAATATTCCTCAAAAAAAATCTAACAATGTCTGTTTAGTGGTCCAGCGCTCGTATTATCCACTACAGCTTCATGAAACCTGGTCAATCAATGACAGCGGATGTCTACTGCAACCAACTGAAAGAAATGATGAGGATGCTTGCGATTAAGCAGCTGAGATTGGTCAATAGAGACAGGCCAATCCTCTGGCAAGACAACACTCGATCACATGTCACACAAACAACACTGCTCAAACTACAGAGGCTGGAAACTCTCTGTCACCCACCGTATTCACCAGACCTTGCACCTTGACTGCCACTTCTTCCAGGCTTCGGACCACTTCTTGCAAGGAAAAAACTCAATTTTCAACAAGCTGCGGAAAACACCTTTCATGATTTCATCGCCACTCTCTCTCCAGGGTTTTTCGCTGCTGGCTACCGTTAAGATGGCAAAATTGTGTCCACAGTTTAGGTGCATGCTTTGATTAATTTTGCTGCTTCTTGTTTGAGATATAATAAACTACACTTTTGATTTGAAATCAGACATGTCATATTTAATGATGTAAAATAGCAGCACCGACTAAGACATATTTACAAACACATACCCCTATTTCCCCAACCCCACTTCCCACAAATGTACATGATGATATTTCTATCATATGTAGAATGCTAGGGTTAATGCAAATTCAATAAAAAAGACCTCTTTAAATTAGTAAGAAAAAGATTAACCACCAGTAGAAAAATGGATAGGGTAGCAGTTCTCCAAGTGTGGTCTGGTGACACCTGGGGGTTCCCAAGAGCCTTTCAGGAGGTCTGAGATTAGTTTCATAGTAATTATTTTCATTGCCTTTTTCACCATGTTGACATTTGTACAATAATGAAAAAGCAGTGGTAGCTTGTAGTAAGAATCAAGGCAATGATACCAAGTTGCCCTGTGCTTTTCACCACCACACTCTAGCAGCAGGCAGAAGCCACTTTTACTTAAGACAGTCTTTGATTGATGTAGCAATACAAAATTATTAATTTTATTAAATGTTGGCCATAAATTCACAGCTCTTTGGTATTTCGTTAGTTGAAGTGGGAAATAGGAAATACACTTAAAGCACCTCTGTTGTGTACAACTGTTTCTAGAAAAAGCATGTATGCAATTATTTGAATTGCAATATTAACTAGCTACTTTTTCCATGGAACACTATTTCTATGTAATAGGATGACTGACAAGCTGTGGTTTTTCAGATGTGGGTATTTGGCAGACATTTTCTAAAAAATGAAAAATGTAGTCTGTTGCTTCTAGGAAAACAACTGACAGTATTTGCTGCCAATGATAAAATTGTAACTTTCGAGCAAACATTAAAATTTTGCAAGACATGTATCTGCCACCATTAGTTTCACTACGAATTCCTACTATGAATTCTTAAATACTTTAAAAATTTTCCTGTATGATTGGTGGTGATGTTAATGAATGTTATATTTTTTATATTGTATAATAAATTGTGTCAGCATCCATAAGATCTGCATTAGTCAATGAGCCAATATTTTCTATTTTTAAAAGGGTAAACACTGCCACTCACTGATTCTTCTGGTTTGAAGATATAGTATTCAGTGGATTTATTACTATTTTTAATGCTTTTTTTTTTTTTTTGAGACAGAATCTTGCTCCGTTGCCCAGGCTAGAGTGCAGTGGTATCACCATAGCTCACTGCAACCTCAAACTCCTGGGCTCAAGTGATCCTCCTGCCTCAGCCTCCCAAGTAGCTGGGACTACAGGTGCACACCACCACGCCTGGCTAATTTTTCTATTTTTTGTGGAGACAGGGTCTTGCTCTTGCTCAGGCTGGTCTGGAACTCCTGAGCTCAAGCAATCCTCCCACCTTGGCCTCTCCTGGAGTGCTAGGATTACAGGCGTGAGCCACTACACCCAGCCTGATAAATACCCTCTTAAATTTCTCAGTTTAAATTTCTATATAGTAAATATTGATATATATAGCTCACATAACTAAAATCTCTGTGCTTCTCAATAATTAAGAGTGTAAAGGGGACTGGGCACAGTGGCTCACGCCTGTAATCCCAGCCCTCTAGGAGGCCAAGGCTGGAGGTTAACTGGAGCCCAGGAGTTCGAGACCAGCCTGAGCAAAATAATGAGACCCCATCTCTATAAAAAATAGAAAAAACTAGCTAGGTATGAAGCCTTAAGTCCCAGCTACTCAGGAGGCTGAGGCAGGAGGTCACTTGAGCCCAGGACTTTAAGGTTGCAGTGAGCTATGATTGCACCCTGTGTAGACATGATAAATAAATTTGTATGCCTTTTCTGCAATTAATCTGCCTTTTGCGAGTTGATTTTTCAGTGAACCTTCAGAGGACCAAGGGGAACTTCAAGAAATCTTTTAAGAATTTCAAGGAATCTTTGACATCAGAGATTTATATACAAAGGTATTTATAATGTAACAAAGTTAGAAACAACCAGTTGTGTGTGAATGATTAATAGGTAATGCCAAATAAATTCACGAAGTCCTTTGAATGGCATTGGAGAATACCCAGGAAATGACGTGGCCTGGGGAGAAAGATGGGGGCGTGGTGGAGGCAGTGGGAACCTGGGAAGCTAAAACCCAGGGTGGGGCCGAGAGGAGTGCAGGGCCAGGGCCGGGAGGCAGGGACCGCGCAGGGGGAAGAGGGGGACGCTCTGGAAGTGGGTGCAGGCCCTGCTAACATTCGGGCCTGAGGAAGAGGAAGATGCGGGATGCGGGAGGCTGCAGGACGTGCGGGAGGCAGGGGCTGGCAAGTCCCAGGGGGGCTGGGCCTGGACCCCCGGCGCCCAGGGGGTGCTTCCAGCGCAGCTTCAGAGCTAGAGGGGCGGAGCGGAGGCCGTGGAGCGGGAGCGCGGGGTTCTCGGGCTGCGCGCAGCGTCCCCGCCCTGCCTCACTGAGGACGCGCGGCCGGGGGTGGGGAGCGCGCTGGGCGAGGGGAGCACACGGTGGAGGCGGCCCCGGGAGTCGGGCTGAGCCAGGGCGCGGTGCGGCGGCGAGGAGCGGGTTCCCGCCTGGGGCCGGTCGGGAAGGTGGGCGTCAGCTCGGATAGGGCTGCGGCCGCCCTGGCTGCCACCGCCAAGAGTCCGGGGAAGGCAGCGCTCAGGGCCCCGCAACTCCCGGCGCCCGTAGCCATCCTGGCCCCGGCACAGGGCTGCTGGAGGATGACAAGTGTTCAGTGGCTGCGCTGCGGACGAGGGAAGGACCAGCGGAAGGGGCTGGGCCAATGGGCAAGGGCCGGGCTATAGGCTGGGCCAATGGGCGAGGGCAGGGCCCATGGCGAGGGCTGGGCTAAAGGCTGGGCCAATGGCGAAGGCTGAACACTGAGAGGGCTGGGCCAATGTGCATAGGCTGGGCCAAGGGCGAGTGCTGGGCCATTGGGCGAGGGCTGGGCCTATGGCGAGGACGCCGCGTCAAGGGTGCCGGACTGAATGAAAGCCAGTTGACTCAGTGAGCGTAAAGCCACCTTCCCTCCGCTTGCTCAATATAGCGACGGGGCGAACAAGGCCGTTAAGCAAATGCTGCACCTTCCTCCGCAGAGAACTGGAGTCAAATCCCGGAGGACGTCTGAGGGCCTCAATGAAACCCGCCCTTCCTGCGCTGTGAGAGTCCCGCCCAGGACCTGAATCCCGGCCGCAGGTCCTGCCGACCCTCTGCCCGGGACTACAACACCCAATCCCCGCCCCTCCGCAGTGTATGGCCCCGCCCCCTCGCGCCGATTGGCCGGCAGCCCGCTCGGCTCCTCGCGGGGAAGACCCGGAGAAGGTTCATCGCCCAAGAAATGGCGCCCGCGGGCTACTGCGCATGCTCGCGCCGTGACCCCCGCCTGAGGTGAAGGCTCGAGCCCAAGCCGGGGGGGCCCCGGCGCTGAGGTTGAGGGACTCGCTACGGCTCTGTCGCCAGAGAGGGAGGGCCCTGCTGCCGTCGGTGAGGACGGGCCCCATCCGGTGGGGAGGGTCCCGCGGCTTGGATGCGCCCCCGGCCCGGCTCTCCCGGAGGTCCCAAGGGCTGCTGGCATAGTGTCCCCTGGCTCTGCGTGCCAGCGTTCCGGCCGCCTTGGTGTCGGTCGCCCGCGATTCGCCTCCTTCTCCCTCGCTCTTTCCTGCAACCCACCGCCCCCTGGACTGACACCCCCAAATCAGGGAGCCCCACATTCGTCCGCCTTTCCTGGCTGTGACGCCCCAGCCGGTGCTGCGCCCCCCGGACCCACGTCCAGTCTCGTCCCATCTTGGTGGCTCCGAAGGCCCCAGCAGGGATGGCAGCAAGTTGGAGGCGTGAGATATTGGGATGGGAAGACACTCCCTAGTCTTAGGAAGTGGTGGTTTTGATAGGAGAGGAGAAACAGGGTAGCAGGGGCCACTTGGGCTAGCATGGCCAGCGTTTGATGGCAGCTACATTGGGTAAGGGAGGAGTAAAAGTAAGATTCTGAGCCATGGTGATGAGGGGAAGGAGGTGCAGTTAACTGAAGTTTCCAGTTTGGGGAAGCTCTGCCCCACACAGCAGGTAGTTCTTGACCTTTTTCGGGGGGGGGCGGTCACTGGCAGTTTTTAAACTCCCCCTGCAAGGACATATACCGCACACCTAAGTGTCCCATCATCACATCAGCGGTCCAATCACAGCCCTCTATGGGCTGCGTGGGACAGTGATTATTAGTGAGCAGCTGTCAGTATCATCTGAGAACTGTTGCAATGACTTCACCCTTCGCCTATCTGCTATTAACAACCCCTGCTGAATTCGTCACTATCCCCATTGAACAGATGTAACCAGCCCAGAAAGGGTAAGTGATTTGTCCTCATGGCTGCGGACAACAGATGTTGGTGGACGTTAATGATACTTCTCTCCTATGTGTATGGAGCTAATTCTGTGGATCCACCAAAAGGCACCCCTGGCTTCCAGAACCTGATCAATAAGGGATTGGGCCTTATATTACTTTCCCGTTGCTGCCATAACAAATTAACACTAATTTAGTGGCTTAAAACAACATTATCGGGCCGGGCGCAGTGGCTCACGCCTGTAATCCTAGCACTCTGGGAGGCCAAGGTGGGTGGATCGCTCAAGGTCAGGAGTTCGAGACCAGCCTGAGCAAGAGCGAGACCCCGTCTCTACTAAAAATAGAAAGAAATTATCTGGACAACTAA